CCTGACCCCCGTTCCCACCAGTACTTTTGTTCTTCTCTGTCACTACTGCTGTTTGGGAAAAAAAAAAAATCTGTCCTTGGGTCTCTCTGGGTGGCTCCATCCCTCTCACCCCAGAGGTCCCCACTTCTCTGGGTGTCATGCTGGGTGCCCATCAAACCCGGCCCCTGGCCGCATACCCAAGATGGGTAGACTCCTGCCAGCTCTGGCCTGGTCAGCCCAGCCCAATAACTGGCAGACAGCAGGTGCGATTTGGGGGGAGGGGTGGATGCAAGGTCAGGAACCCCCGCCAAGGAAACGAGGCCCCATAGACACCAGGGCCCTCCTGGCTTGGGAACGGGCTAGGGGGCTGGCTTGGCCGGCCCTCCCTTATGAGGGGGGTGCCTTGGGAGCGGGTGGTCCCAGCGAGGCCACCTCATTACAGCAGTTATTCAGCATGGCGCTGGCGACAGCAGATAAGCCTTATCAGCTCATCTTCCCCTCCCACAGACAGACAGAAAGTGCCCGCACAAATGGCACCCTGGAGCTCCGCTGGCGGGCTGCCCTGCTGGTGAGAAAGGGTGATCCCAGGGGATGCACCACGGTGTGTCACCCAGGAACGGACTCCTCCACAGACCACAAACACAGGTAGAGAAATACACCCCGTTCAGGACACAGCCGTCTATACAGACGCCCAGACCACAGCCAGCCATCCCTGCACACATCAATTCACTCCCAGGGTCATGCGCAGATGTTCAGACACACTTGCACACATCTCCCCTTCCCTGCCACCACTTCAAAGTTACACTGACACACACCCATACCTATGCTGTTAAAGACAGATGCACACATGGGCTAATGCTTGTCTAGATACAAACACCGTCCCCCCAAACAGTTATCAATTAGTAAGTAGAATTATACATGGCTATCCAGACACACCGTAACATACTGCACACATGCGGACACAGCCAGGAATATACTAGCAAAGACAGACACAGTAGCATGTGCCCAGATACATGTGCACATGTGTAGCAAAAACACCAATTCAAGATCACAGGGTGCCCCCTCCCTGCTCCACACACAGACACACACATTTACACACAAACACTTGGAAATACCCACTCCCCATGACATGATTCTTGGACACGATGATCCCATAGATACACAGGCACCGGGACACACACCCAGTTCCATAGTTCCTTTGTGCAGTCTGGGGTCAAGCTCCAGCGCCCTATACACAAAGCCTGAGGAGCCCACGAGGAGAAATGGGCACAGTGACACATGTGGCGGGCACTGCGTTGTGCTTATGGGCACAAGTATTAACCACATACACGAAGCTTATACATAACACTTATCAATGCCGTCACCACTAGATCCAAAAAGACCACAGACAGCAGGTGCCACGGGGTGGGGTGAGGTGGGGGACACAGGCACACTCTTCTCTGGGGGCACACCTGGGCACCCAACTGTGGACACCGGACACCCGAGTACTTTCAAGGCAAAGCACTTTCTCTTCTGGCCCAAGATCCCCAGGTCATTCTTCTCTCTCCCTGGGCAGCTGGAATGGGATTCTCAAATTCCTGGTAGGGACTCCCACCCTCAGCCCCTGCCTCAGCCACTTCAGAACAAGCCCTCGGCATCCCACTCCCTCCAGTGCGGGGATCTGCCTGGGAAGCTCCACTCCTAAAACACCCAGGCCCGCTCTAGAATTCGGAATTGGAGTGGAGGTGGAGAGGGAGAGGGGGTGGGTCTACACTTAGCCAAACTGGCCAGGGAGCCAGGGAGTTGTGCGGGTACCAGAGTGTGGAGCTACCCCTTGAGTGTGCTGATGCCCAGATGGCCTGTCCAGGGATCTTAACCCAGCACCAGCTGTGTGCGCAGATGAGTGTGGGTCCGTGAGGGCATCAGTGCTCGGTACCCACATTTCGCGAGGGTCCTGGGGGAGTCTCAGGACAGAGACTCCTGGAAAGCAGGGGCGCACGCTGGCGCTCCCGACTGGACGGGAGTGACCTGGAGCGTGGAGGAGCCGACGAGTGCTCCCCGCGTGCTCGGAGGCCCGCGGGCGGCCAGCCTGGTGGCTGGACGGGGCATCCTCCTGCCCTCCTGCGGCGCTCCCGCCCCCTCAAAGTGATGTCGAAATAAAAAGCTGCGGCCAGGGGGGAGGGAGAGGCGGCGAGAGCGCGAGTGAGACTGCAAGGCCAGCGCCTCTGGGGTTCGCCGCTCAGGTCTCTATCTCCTGGCTGCCGTCACCCCCACCCTCGCCGACCAACAGCGCCCAGCAGGCGGACAAAAGCGGCCCGCTGCGCGCTATGCGGCCCCTCGGCTCGCTGGCCCAGCGCTGCTGGTGAGCGCCGCCATCCCGCGCCCGGGCGCCCCGGCCCGCCTAAGCCACGCACCGCACCGTGCTCCTAGCTCCTCCGCTCCGGCCCTGTCCGCCCGGGGGCGCCGCCCACCGCACCGCGCTCGGTAAGTTCTCTCCACTCCACCCGGCTGGCCCGGCCCCAGCCTTTCCCGTCCCCCGGCTCTGCTCGCTGGGCGCCCAAATCGGACGGTCCATTTGGCCCTGTGGTTTCCGTATTTGGGGCTCATCTTGGCCCTGCTAGCGACTGGCACTCCCGGGCACAGGGACCTATGCCCAGGGAGAATACTCGGGGCCCTGGGGCCAGGAGGCCTGCCTCGGGCCTCCTGCCTGGCCATTTCTCCCAGCCCCAAGCCGACAGCCCTAGGCATTTCCAGAGCCTCGAAACGCTTCCCCCCTCCCGGTCCCCGAGCAGGGGCCTTTGTCTCCGCCACCCCCCATCCCGGGGCTGCCGAGGCGGATGCGCCCGAGCCGGGCAGCGGAGCGGCGGCTGCACCTGCCGGCCAGTCCCGTGCGCCGGCTTTGCGCGGCTTAACCCGGCTCGCTCCTGCTTGCGCCCCCGCGCGCCGCGCCCCGCGGTCCTTTATCCTGTGAGGCTGGGGTCCGGGTGGGGGAGAGCGCCGGGTCTGGAAGGCTCCCCCCTGCCTCAAGCCGGAGTCGGAATCCGTTTAGTGGGATTTCAATAAGAATGGGGCCGCCGCGGATTCCGGGATCTGCCGCCGGGAAGGCGTAGATGGCGTTTTGGATGCGTCTGGACGCGGGGGCATTTAGAATCCTACGGCGGTAGCCAGGCTGGAACTCGGCTTGCCCCAACCGCGAGGGGAAAGGCCCCGCGTTCAGGGGGCTCGGGTGTGGCGGCGGCTCCTTTACCGGAAAACAAGGAAGGAAATTCGTTGTTTTGGAAAAAGCCCCAGCAGGGCTCACAAATTGCAAACAAATTGCGTTTAACAAAACGCATTTACCAGTTGACAAGCCGCGGGCCGCCGGGGGCTCGGCGTAAACCAAAGCTGTTGGTGGAGGAGGGAGGAACGCGGCGTGATCCACCGCGGCTGTAACCCAGTAAAAAAGGGGGCGACTGGACTCTCCCAGGGGCCTCGCCGCACGGGGCCGGGACTTCTGGAACCCGGGAATGGGTGTCTGCGATGCCAAACGACTCAAGGTACCAAGGGCCGGGAGCCTCACCTCGAGGCCGAGATGGGGTCTTTTGATTGGGGGTGAGGGGCGAGCTGGACTTGGGCCCCAAAGAGCAGCAGGGACTGCTAGGGAAAGTCTCCCCTTGAGGACCCTTTCGGAGGCAAAGCTGCTGGCAGACAGAGCAGATCTGAGGACTCCAAGAGGGATTCTGGCCCTCTCTTGCTGGGGTGCCCCCACCTTCTCCTTCACAGCCCTCAAGGTTTTATGGAGTGTGAGTTGGGGGCCGCTAGGTTGCGGATTAAACGTCCCCGTGGAGGGCAGCCCCTTGGCTAACCGCCCCTCCACTGCAGGCCAATTAGCTAGCCCGAGGAAAAGGCGAGAAGAATTAGGTTACAAAGAGGGCAAACTTAGGGTCCCAGAGGGCCGCCTGGATGAGCGAACTTTAAACAAAGGGCATAGTAGGGAGGGCAGCTCTGAGCAGGGGAGACCTGGGCAACTCCTAGTGGGAGCCGTGTGCCAGAGCCAGGCACCCGGCACCAGGTACCCGCAGCTTGCAGGCAAAGCGTCCGAGGCTGTCCCTCTGCCTGTCGGGCTGGGATCCCAGCATCACTTGAAAAGGGTCGTTAGGAAATTCGGTTTCGATCTTCCCCCAACAAGAAATCTTGCTCCCAGGCAAGGAAAGCGGCAGCTTTTTAGTGCGATCAAAGGCAACCGCCGGCATTTCCAGCTACCCTCGGGAGCGAGCAAAAAATCGAAGAGGGGACCGTGCCCCTCCAACGGTGTTCTGGGCACCCCAAAGCCCGACTTGGTCAACGGAAATAAATCTGTTCCCAGCAGGCCTGGAGCGCAGCCCTAAATGGAGCCGGTCCTGGGGGCTGCCCCGACCCTCCCGGGACGTGGGTTTGTTTGTGGCCGAAGCAGGAGAGGCTCCCGCTGGTGTCGGTCGGTCTGACTCCCACATATCCAGGAGCGCAGACCCTCATTTGCGCTCAGCTTGGCGCGGTTTCTCTCTCCCAAGCGGGTTCGTTCCTACCGGAGAACGCAGCAGTCCCGCGTCCAACGCAGGAGCACCCGCGGAGGCGGAGGCGCGGCCCAGCCAGCAGCCTGCCCGCGGAGTCGCCAAAGCACCCCCGGGAGCGCCCGAGGGACCTGGCGGGACGCCCCCGTCCCCGTCCCTCTCTACGTCCAGGTCGCGCAGGCAGGGCAGTCGGTGCGGGTCTCCCGAGGCCTCTGCCCAAGCACTGCTTCACCGCCCTGCTAAGCCCCTCTGCGCGGCGATTTTCTGAGCTGCCGAGCGGGGTAATTAAATCCCCTGGCCTGCCGTCCGCTCCGCGCCAGGCGGGCGGGCAGCGCAGGGCTTCCGCTCGGGCAGGGGACCCAGCCGGACTGGCCACCTCTACGCCCGCGGGGACCAGGACGCTGCCCCGGAGAGGCTGAGCTCGAAGTGCAGACTCCGCAGACACACCTTGAGCTTTTTGCCTTTTTTTTTTTTTTTTTTTAAGCGCGCCTTTGACAGAAAAAGGCGAATTACCTGCTTTGTCGAGGGCCCTGCGCGGCCACTTTCCTGCGATCTGCGGCGCTGGTCGCTGCCGGCCGAGAAGCTTCCGCTCGGCTCCGGCGTTCCCGGCCCCGCGACCGGCTGACAGTGGCCGCTCGGCCTCGCGCGGGGTCCGGGGTTCGAGCTCCGCGAGCGGCCGTGCCCAGCGCGGGGTATCTCCCGGGCCACGGCGTCCTGGAGAGGCTCCGATAGGCTCCGCGGCGATCTCACGTTACGCGCCGCTGGAGGATGGCAAGCGAAAGGCCAGAAGTTAGAAATGCTCGCGAGGCCGCCGGCCCGGCCCTCCCGCGCCGCTTGCGGGCACCGCTCACCTGCCCCGCCCGGCCGCAGAGGCCCGGCTCCCGAGGCCTGTGGCGCTCCCGCTCCCGGGTCCCGCGCGCTTTCCCGGGCGGACGCCGGCCCCCTCTCCTGGGGAGCGCAGTTCCGGGCTAGCCCGGCCCTGCGCGCCCCAGAGTGGGGAGGAACGGGAGGAGCAGCGGGCAGCCGAGGCAGGCGGGTCCCCGAGGACCCAAGACGCGCCGGTTCCCAGCCCAATGGGCCTCCGCCCTCTCCCCCCGCCCCCACGCCTTTACCTGCGCCCGGGACCGGACAAATTGACGCCAGACGCAGAGGCCGGGGGAGGCCCTAGCCAGGGCCCGCGCCCCCCTGGGCGCTGCCCGGAGCTGGCCTGGCAGGAGGTGACGGGGGCGCGCCGGCGGAGCTGGGCCCGGCTGGGCGCCCCCCGAGCCGAGGGGACCGAGGGCTTTCCTCCCTCCTCAGATTATTAAAAAGTTCATTTCCTGGCGAATCGGGTGACGTCAGGGGCCCGGCGTCGCGGTGGCGGGGCCGCCCGGCCGGAGAAGCCGCCTCCAGTTACCCAATTACCGACTGTCAATCCCGCCGCCCCTCCCCCAGCCTCCCGGGGGTGGCCCAGACCCCAGCCCTCCCCCAGCACCGGACCCACCTGGGATCCCTCTGGACTTGTGCACTGCGAGCGCTGTGCCTAGCGAGGGGACAGTGGCTGGAGGCCGTCGGTGCCTCCCCCGGCAACCCGCACCTGTCCAGGCTCCCCCCAGGTGTGCGCCTTGCACACCCCATCCTCGGTCTGAGGCTCCCTCCGAGCCCTCGTCTCCCCAATCCGTACAACCGAGGGTGGGGGAAGCAAAGACATCGGTGCGTCCGGCCCCCTCGACCCACGCAGCGGGCCTGGGGGCGGGAGGTGTGCGGAGGGCAACTCCAGGTGACTCAGGGGACAGAGTCCTAAGGCCACCTCCGCCCCATCCCCTGGGTCCGCCTCAGGGACCCGCGGGAGGAAAAAAATGCCTTCTCCTGCCCGAGGCGTCTCCCTCGAGCCCGCGCCGGCGCCAGGGCCGGCTCCACCGCCTCGCCCCAGGCAGTTCGGCCGGGGGGTCTGCGAAGGCCACGCCCGGGGAGGGGACACCGCCTCCCCCTCTCTCGAGCCGCCGGCCTGGCCACTTCCCCCGGTCAAGCAGAACCCGAGCGGCCGCGTACTTGGGGCCCAGGTGCCTTCTAGGCCCTCGGCTCCTGCTGTCCCGCAGCGGCCCTCGGAGCCCTCCCACCCGCCGCCCAGCCAGCGCCCGAGTTGGGAGAAGGAGCGGTCAGGCTGGGAGCTGGACTCGGACTGACCGCGACCCGCGGTAAAGGAGGTGGGGCTTCCTCCAAGAGAGCGCAGGGGCCGGGGTCCCGGGCACAGGACCCCGGAGCGCGCGCGGCCGGGGCTCCCGGGGAGGGAGAGGCCGGCTTGGTGCTTAGCGACCGGGAGGGGCCAGCGGTCGCAAGACACCAAGAGCCCGCAGGAAGGGGCGCAGGGGCTGGCTGGGGGCGAGGGTCCCGGGCGGCGTTGGCAGCAGGGGCCGCCGGGAGGGCGCTGGGAGGGGGCCCGCCGGCGGAGGGGGCCGGCCGCGGGTCAGTCCGGCGGTCCGCGGCCCGGGAGTTTCGGGCGCAGCCAATGGGGGGCGGAGGCTGGGCGGCAGGCGGCGCTGATTGGCTGGCGCTGGCTTCTTAGGCGTGCGCGGCCCCCGCTTCATGTCTGTGCAGGAGTCGGCAGCTGGCGCCAGGGCGGCCGGAGGATGCCGAGGGGCCGGAGCCGGGCGGGCCCGAGGCCGAGGCGCGCGCTGCCCCCCGCCCCTACCTCGTGAGCCCTGCCAGCCTCCCGACGCACGTCCCAGGGCCCGCCGCCCCCCGGCGCCCCCTGCGCTCTGCTCCCGCGTGCCTCCTGTCCCCACGGCGCTGCGCGTGTAAGTTTGGGGTTCGAGAGCCGGCAGGGGGCCTGCGGCTTTCTTAGCTTCAGGGTCTCTGCGGATGACTGCGAGCCGCGCCGAGCTGGTGGGCGATCGCTCTGCTGTGCGTGGGCAGGGGTCCTGAGGGTGTCGCGCACCGGTGCGCTGGGAAGGGGAGTTGGGGGGTGCTGGCTCTCAGCCACAGGCTCCTGCGCGCATTTGGGGCGCCCGGGTCAGCGGTGCGCCGCCTGCGCCGTCGGTGCGTGCGTGTCGCGGGGAGCACGCGGCCCTGCGGGGGGGCCCGGGAACCTGGCTTTCTAACTTTTGGTCCGTGTTTCTGTTTGTGTCCCCGAGGGCGGGGGCCCAGTGTGAGCGCCCGCCTTGGGCGCCACTCTGTGTGTGTGTTGGGGGTCGCGGGCGTCGGGACCAGTCACTGTGCGTTACCCCGAGTGCACGAGTGTTGGGCTCCGGGGCTGCGGGTCACCACGTGAGAGTGCGGGGCTGGACGCCCTCCCCCGCCTTCCTTTCGTTTTGAGCTTTGCGCTGTCCTCGCGCCGGGGGCTGGCCCGCCGCAGGGCTCCGCTGCGGCCCAGTGGCGTGCGGGACGCCGCGTCGTGGGACTTGGAGGGGGGTGTCGGGGGCCAGAGGCACCCCTCACGCTCCCTTCCCGTCGCTCAGGGCCGCCACTGCCTCCACCCAGACCCTGAACCTCGGGCCATGGAGGTGGCGCCGGAGCAGCCGCGCTGGATGGCGCACCCCGCCGTGCTGAATGCGCAGCACCCCGACTCGCACCACCCAGGCCTGGCGCACAACTACATGGAGCCCGCGCAGCTGCTGCCCCCTGACGAGGTGGACGTCTTCTTCAACCACCTCGACTCGCAGGGCAACCCCTACTACGCCAACCCAGCCCACGCACGGGCGCGCGTCTCCTACAGTCCCGCGCACGGTGAGCCCGGGCCCGTGGGTGACCCAGAGTGCAGGCGCCGCGCTCCAGGCGCGGGAAGGGAGGAGGGCCCTGCTGTTGGCTTCCCGGATGTGGGATCCGCAGGGATCGGAGCAGCTGAGAAATCGGGGAGGGAGGGGGGCTGCAGCCTCCTGGGGAAGACTGGGGACCCTCGGGGTTTCTGCCCATTTCCAGCTGGCTCCTGGGGGTTCCCTGTAGGCCTTGGTCCCTCGGCCTGGGCTTGGTAACTCTGATTGCTAGCGGTTGGCGTGCTGTGTTTCTGGTGTTCTTTGGGGAGGGGGCTCCTGCTGGCTGGTTTCTGAGTGGTGACCCTGTGTGTCTGTCTAGGGCGCAGCCCAGCCCCCTGCCTCCCTGACCCACTCTCCTTCCACCTGCAGCCAGGCTCACCGGAGGCCAGATGTGCCGGCCACACTTGTTGCATAGCCCGGGTTTGCCCTGGCTGGACGGGGGCAAAGCAGCCCTTTCTGCAGCCGCCGCGCACCACCACAACCCCTGGACCGTGAGCCCCTTCTCCAAGACACCGCTGCACCCCTCAGCTGCTGGAGGCCCCGGGGGCCCGCTCTCCGTGTACCCAGGGGCAGGGGGAGGGAGCGGGGGAGGCAGTGGGAGCTCCGTGGCCTCCCTCACCCCCACTGCGGCCCATTCTGGCTCTCACCTCTTTGGCTTTCCGCCCACACCGCCCAAAGAAGTGTCTCCGGACCCCAGCACCACAGGGGCCGCCTCCCCGGCCTCCTCTTCTGCAGGGGGTAGCGCGGCCCGGGGGGAGGACAAGGACGGGGTCAAGTACCAGGTGTCGCTGACCGAGAGCATGAAGATGGAAGGTGGCAGTCCCCTGCGCCCGGGCCTGGCCACCATGGGCACGCAGCCCGCCACACACCACCCCATTCCCACCTACCCCTCCTACGTGCCGGCTGCCGCCCACGACTACGGCAGCGGCCTCTTCCACCCGGGGGGCTTCCTGGGCGGCCCGGCCTCCAGCTTCACCCCTAAGCAGCGCAGCAAAGCACGCTCCTGCTCAGGTAAAGGCTGGGGCTGGGCTCTTGGTGGAAGTGGGGGTGGTTGGTGCCTTTGGGGCAGGCTGTGAGGTTGGAGAGGGGATCTGGGAACAGGTGATGCTCCTCTCTGACAGCCCCTGACAGACGTCTGCGACCTCAGAACAGGGGAGAGGGGATCCTGAAACTTTGCCCCTTCTTCTTAAGTGTCCCTGGTGGCCGTCAAAGCCCCATCCCCTGCCCCACACCCCTTGCCACCTGCCCTCCAAAGTTGGCCACTGCCAGACCAGAATGGGAATTCCCCCTTGCCCTCCCCAGATCTTAAGTGAAAATTCAAGCAGCCTTATGACTGAGTGCGCGGGAATGCAGGCTGTAGGTGAGAAGCGGGGCTGCGTGTGCGTGTGTGTACATGTGTCTGTGTGCACACGCATATGTGTGAGCTTCAGGCACTCCTGGGATCCAGAGCCTTCAGGAATCTGGTTCTCCAAGTTAATCAGTCTGATCCTGGGATTTTGATGCCTCCTGATCTCCTTGGGAGATCTGCCCCAAGCAAAATCCCCCGGTGAGCCCTCCGGTCCTCCCTCTCGGACGGCTGAGGCTGCGGGTGCCCGCACCCCCTATGCCCGCAGTGACCGGCTGGGGCCAGGCTGAATTTGTCTAGGAATCTGGCCATTAACAAACACCCGAGGCTAGCTTGGGGGCCCTGCTGTTAATAGCTGGCAGGGGAAGATTCCTTAAACTTTCATCCTGAGTACAGGAACCACCGACAATTTTCGAGTGAATCGGGGAGAATTTCCTGGGTCGCCTGTGCTGAGGCTGCTGGCTGTGGCCCCTGGCTCCCGCTGCCCCGACTCCACTCAGGGGTCCCCGGTTCCACTCAGACCGGTCAGCTTGCATTTTCTTAGTCCTTTCTCTCAAGTTAGTTTTCATTTTATTTGAATTCCAGATGGCCTCTCAACAAAATGGAAAAAAAAAAGCACCACTAAACCAACAACAAAACAAAACAAAACAAAAAGGCCACTTAGTTTCAAAGTGAAAGAGCTTCGTTTTAAATTTTGCTTTAAAGACTGACAGCTTGGATCCCAGTCCAGGAATGGATCGGAGGGCTTCCGAGGAAGGGGAGAACAGCTGGGGGCAGATAACTTTTCTTTCTGACCCTGGGCGGGGAGCAGAAAGCCCGAGAGGACGGAGGGTGCTGACTGGGGACGCAGACCGGGCGGGAGAAAGGAGAGAGGTGAAATCGCGGGCCCAAAGGTGGCCCCTGGGGCGGGCGCAGCCAGGTGGGGCTGGGTGACTCCCACCCCCGCCCTGCCCTGGGCAAAGTTTGCTGTAAATACTCTCTCCTGGCCCTGACCCCGCGCCGTCCCCCTCCCTTGTTTCCCTTTCTGCCCCGAGGATTTGTCGTGGGGGATTTTGGCCATAAACGGTTCTGGGGACCCTCTCCCAAGTTCTTCCCTCTCCCAGGTCTGGGACTGAAAATCAGCCCAGATGCGGCCTGGCCGGGCGGACCGCATGCCTGAGTGGCGCCCAGCGCCGGCTCGGCTGCCCAGCCACCCGCCCTGGCTCCCGCCCGTGACCTCGTCTCCCCTCCTGTCACCCTCCAGAAGGCCGGGAGTGCGTCAACTGCGGGGCCACGGCCACCCCTCTCTGGCGGCGCGATGGCACCGGCCACTACCTGTGCAACGCCTGTGGGCTCTACCACAAGATGAACGGGCAGAACCGGCCGCTCATCAAACCCAAGCGGAGACTGGTAAGGCGCGGCCAGGCGGGCCGGGGCCTGGGGCCGGGGAAGGGACCCCCGCCTGGACGGGTCAAGGGGAGAAAACCCGACTGCCCTGGCAGAGCAGACACTCTGCACTAAAAGCCCTCTGACGTTCGAAGTGCTGCAGCGTCCTTCTTTCTGGCCAGACCTCATCAGCAGCCCACCGGGCACCCCCGAGTCACCGGCTCAGGGATGCCCCCTTGCTGAGTGTCCAGGGGCCACCTCCCGGCCTCTGGCCTCTGTTTAACTCTTTATAAAAATAGGGCCGTGAAGTACTTTTCCCTGTGGCTGGCTCTGGGCAGCCTCCCGCGGCTTTCCAACTCCCAATCTCCTCCCGCTTATTTAAATAAAACACACACACTCATGCCGGCCACCAAAAAAACCTGCCCTTTATTATTTTTCCATGGAGTCACCTATACTGTGTATTTTCATTTGGGTGATTTAAAAAAAATGCCCTTTCGGATCTCCTGCCGGAGTTTCCTATCCGGACATCTGCAGCCTGGAGATAAGGAAACTCCGTGTATCTGTTTCCGGACTCTGTGAGTTGTGAGAGTCTCCCCGGCTCAGTCCTGCCTCTCGCTGGGCTGTTTTGAAATTTCTAATACCCTCCGCTCTGCAAATAATGCGCAAAATGCTAAGAATAATAAATATATTTTTTCAGGGCGAAGTGATTTATGAGGCTTAAATCGTTCCCCCGCTTTGGGGGCCCTTTCTCCCCGCCTGGAGCGAGGGCGGGGTGAGGGCCCGGGTGGAGGGGGGTGGAGGATACGGTGTTGGCCCCTGAGTCAGAATTCCAGCTTCAGGCCGCTTACTCACCCTGCCCCTCCCCGCCCCCGCAGCTGCAGTCCCTCATCCCCCTCCGTGGCCAGGCTCGGGCCTGGGGCCATTCCCGACGCTGCTGGCCTCAGCTCCCTCCACCGCCCCCTCCCCGGGCCTGTGGCCTCCAGCAAGGGGCTGGGGGGGACCCCCGCCTGTGGGCTGTGGGCGTGGGGCTGGCGCTGGTAGAGCTGGGGGCGGGGGTGGGGGTCTGCGCTCTTGGAGAAAGGCTCCTCCTCACTTTCTCCCAGGCATTTCCTGAGGGAATGGGACGCAGAGGGGCTGGGAGGGGGAGGTTTGGGGTCATGGGGCTGGACCAGCAGCCCAGCACCTGGCCCAGCTGGCTACACACGGACAAGTGTCGCCTGCCCACTTGAAACGTGGAGCGTGCAATCGAAGGAAGGGCATTTTAACCTTGTTACGTCGCAGTCTGACTTGGCCCATGTCAGTGGCTGCCTGGCCCTTCCCCTAGCCACCCTGGGCAGCCTGCGGGGTCTCTGGCCCTGGCCTCCCGGGACCCTGACTCATCCAGGGTTATGGATTCCGAGGGAGGCTCTAGACCCCGGGGGCCGCCCTTCTCAGGCCCTCAGTTTCCCTGGTCACGGAACTGGATTGCTCAGCAGTTGCGGGAGGGGACGGAGTTCCCCGTCTCGATTCTGCGATCCCCTGGACTCTCAGAGCCGGCTTCTGAGCGCTCTTTCTTCTGGAGCTCCGTGATTCTCGGACTTGAGGAGTTCTCAGATGCTGAGATTCCTCGATCCTGAGAGTCTCCATTCCCCCGTGAGGTTGAGCGCTCCCTTGGCGGAGCGGGTGGAGGCGGTCGGGGAGGGGGGTCGAGGCGGGGCGTGGGAGCCAGCCCGCTGACGCTGCCCGCCCTCTCAGTCCGCTGCCAGGAGAGCAGGCACCTGCTGTGCGAACTGTCAGACGACAACTACCACCTTATGGCGCCGAAACGCCAACGGAGACCCTGTTTGCAACGCCTGTGGCCTCTACTACAAGCTGCACAATGTGAGTGCGCCCCGCCCCGGCCCGCCTGCCCCTCCCCAGGGACCTCTGCTCTTTGTGCTGCCAGGCAAGAGGCCCCAGGCACAATATCCAGCTTGGCTTGGCTTGGGAAGCTTGCTGCTGCCCGCACGACAAGCCCTGGGCGCCAGAAGGGCCTCCCGTAAGAGGAGTCCCTGCGTAAAGGACAGAGCTGGCTGGCAGGGCCCAATAGGTCCAGGGAGGTGGGAGGTGGGATCTCTGTGTCAAAAAAGAAAAAAGCTGTGGGCAGTGGTTTACACGCTGGAATCCCACATCCTAGTACCCGGGTTTGAATTCTGGCCCCACCTCCTGACTCCAGCTTCCTGCTAATGCAGACCCTGGGCGAGGCCGCGGTGATGGCTCAAGCAGTTGGGTTCCTGAGACCCTAACACTGGGAGACCTGGACTGAGTTCCTGGCTAGGATTGAGCGGGCTAGGCCACTGCGGGCATCTGGCCAGTGAAGCAGTTTATGGCAGCTCGCTCTGTCTCTATGCCTCTAAATAAATATATTTTAAAACTTAAAAATGTATAGAAACTATAATAAAATAAGGTGCTAGGGGTGGGAAGCATTTCAGTTGTCTGGATCGGAGGCATTGTTGGCGGAAGGCTGAGTGAATGCCTGGAGTGGGCCAGTCCTGTCCAGCCAGAGCCGCCCTCCTGACAGGGTAGCGGCTGATGAGGGCAGGGCCGCAGTTTGCGTCTGGAGATTGGCCCAGAGGCATGGCCGGTTTCTTGGGGACCCCTAGGCCAGGCCTGCCTTTGCTCCGCCTGTGCAGACGTCCAGCAGGGGGTCCTGCTGGGGAAGGGACCTTGACCCCTGAGCGCTGCCTCTGGTTGCCTCTAGGTTAACAGGCCACTGACTATGAAGAAGGAGGGGATCCAGACCCGGAACCGGAAGATGTCCAACAAATCCAAGAAGAGCAAGAAAGGGGCAGAGTGCTTCGAGGAGCTGTCCAAGTGCATGCAGGAGAAGTCGTCCCCCTTCAGCGCGGCGGCTCTGGCTGGACACATGGCACCTGTGGGCCACCTCCCGCCCTTCAGCCACTCGGGACACATCCTGCCCACCCCGACGCCCATCCACCCCTCCTCCAGCCTCTCTTTTGGCCACCCTCACCCATCCAGCATGGTGACCGCCATGGGCTAAGGACAGCCTCCCGCTGGACGACAGGGCGATGCTGAGGAGGGCGGCTGGCGCACCGAGGCTGGACACTCCCAGGATGGGTGGACCGACCCCTGGCTGCCCAGCCCTCCCTGCAGGTTGCTGCCGCTCCTGCCAGCCCAGCCAGAGCCTGGGCCCCTCTCCCTTGAGGGCCCCGCGTCGGCCTGGGGGCAGTTACTGTGAACGCTCTCAGCCGGGATGAGAGGCCGCCCATGTGCGCGGCTGCCGCCCAGCCAGGGTTTCCTTGCTGGACAACTCTGTGGAGAGCAATTTAAAAGGACAACTTGGGGACAGAAAAGGAGGGGGCAGGGAACAGATGAAGGAAATCCTATTTTGAAGGAAAAAGGAGTAGGCAAAAATAATTTATTTTGCTCTTGTTTCTAACAAGGACTTGGAGACTCGGAGGTCTGAGCTGTCCCAAGCTCTCCCACTTCTCCCCTGGGCCCGTCCACCTGCCAGGGCCGTGGCGTGGGGTGGCGTGGGGCAGAGGCAGATCTGCGGGACCCCAGCCTGCACCCCCTTCTCCTCCTCTGGCTGCCATCTCCCAAACACCACGGAGGGGCCGGTGGCCGGGCCCTGGAGGCAGAGACAATCGCGGGCGGTCCGGTCCGGCGCAGATTCCCAGGCCAGGGCTGGGTCACAGGAAGGAAACAACATTTTCTTGAAAGGGGAAATGTCTCCAGATCGCTCCCTTGGCTCGGACAAGGCCGAAGCTGGTGTGACCCGTGTCCCCTCCGCGGGCCCAGGTCACGGCCCGCCTTCTGCCAGGCAGACCCCCTGTAAATACTGCCTTTTTCTGCAAATCCCTCCACCCTTCCCCTCTCACTCTGAGACGAAAGAAAAAAAAAACATTAAAAAAAAAAACTACATAAGCTTAACTCGCTGATGAGTTAGTCGTTTTATTTTTTAAACTTTTTTATTTTTTTGGGTCCAATTGTACGGTGCTGCAGAAGTCGCGTTCTGGAAGGGAATCAGACTGCAAACAGGTTGGCGCTTTTGCAGTTACGTTTGCAAAACGTGCTTGGATCCCACGGCCCTAGCAGGGAAGCTGAGGGCCGGGGTCAGGCTGGGCGCCTGTCGGCTGGCTGGCGTTCTCCAAGGCCAGAAGTTGGGGTTACCTCTCGGCTGGGGTCCTGGGGGTCTGCTTCGCTGTGGCTCTCTGGATCTTTCCCAAGGTACAGCTGTACATAGACGAGTCCCGAGCTCCGGCTGTGTCCGCGGTGGTGGCGGGGTGCGGCGGCCCGGGACGAGGGCTGTGCAATAGGGCAGGCTGCCGCTGCGGGAGCACCGTGGCCAGAGTAACTTATTTTGTACTCGTATCGCAGAAGCAGAGGAATCGGCAGTATTTTCTGTTTTTATGTTTTATTTGACCGGTTTTATTTTGGATTAGTGAACTAAGTTATTGTTAATTATGTACAACATTTATATATTGTCTGTAAAGATTGTATGCTATCCTCCTATTCCTCTAAAGTGAATACTGTTAAGAATAATAAAATACTTTTTGTGAACGCCCCGGCATGTCTTGGGAGCTCCCGGGGCTGCTGGGTCCCGGGTGTGGATCTGCCAGCTGTGTGGTGCTGCTCCTGCTGCCTGTCGTGGGGTGCAGGGGAGGGGCTTCTGGAGTAGGGGGTGGGGCCCTGCCTGGCCCGGGTTTGAAGGTCAGATTTCACATGGATGTCCTGGTACCCCTCCTCTGAACTGCTTCCCTGGGGGTCTCCTCCTTGTCACTTCACAGAGGTCCGTGTTGCTGGGTGCCCACTGGGGAGGTGGAGAGAGGGTCTCCAGCCTTTGGCCTTCTCCTCATGGCTCAACAAAGTTCCTGTGGGGAGTGGGGAGGCTCTTGCAGACCCCAACAAGGCCTGACTCCACCCCTGTCCCCCATTCACCTCCTCCCAGTTCTGGTTTCTGGTTCCTGCTCATTGGCCAACCTGATTACCAGCGTCTGTTCACTGATGCCACTGACTGCTGTCATCTGGGGTCGATGATGGTGGCCATCAGAGACAGCCACCATGACTGCCGTTCCTGGTCAAGACACACATGACCACCAGAGCTCTGATCACCAACAGTTACCCACCAGCGTTTCATCCATGCTTCTCATCAGCGATGTGTCTGGTCACCAGCGGCTCCCAGTAGTCGCCACACCACATCTGATCACGAATATCTTTTCTCATCGATGTTTCTGACACCTGTGTGTTGGTCACCATGCACCCTGTCACGCATGTGTGAGGTCATCTGTGTTACCCATGTCATGGGTCAGTGTTCATGATGATGGATCGTGAGCTGTGATCTCCAGCTGCTCCAATCACACTACTGCCCGTCACCAATGTTTCTGTAGCCATGTCCGTGTCACATGACCAATATCTCCTATTGACAATGGCCCTGATTATAGAATCCTCTCTCACCATGGAACTTTCCATCAGCGTGGTTGGTCTCCGGTGACTGGGTACCAAGTTCCCTGGTGTCTGGGATCAGCACCAGTGTCTCTGATCACTAAATTCTAGGGTCATCGTTGCCACGGTCACACACAGCTGCCCTCACCCACTCCCTGGAGCCACGTCTGAAGGCACCGAGTCGGATCACCAGTGTCTCCTGCACGCTTGGGCATCAAGGACCGGTGCACCCCGCGCTGTCACCACTACTGCTCTGGTGCCTCACATGCTCTGTCTCTCACGTCCCCGAGTGCTAGTTCAGGCCACCAAGCCCTCTGAGCACTGCCTCTGGTCATTAGCGCGTGGCACGCCCCTCTCGGGTCAATGCTCCGTCTGAATGACAGCATCTCTGGCTGACTCCTCCGGCTGTTCCTGATGGCCAGGTTCCCTGGCTGATCACCGATGTCTTTGGTCCAGGAGATTTTGCCTTAATCCTGCTACAGACTGCTGGTGTGAGCAGGGTCACAGAGCTGGGGAGGCCACCAGCTTGTCCCAGCCGTCAGGATGGAGTGGGATGGACGGCTCTGGGACTCACCATGGACACCTGTGCCCTGTGTGCCTCCACTGCCCTGCCCACTTCCCTCCCTGTAGACTGGGTACCCAGAGCAGACGGCGCAGTGGCCCTGAACCCCCAGGCCCTCTCAGCAGCTCCTCTTCCCCACATCCAGCTGCAGAGTGAGCGGGCCTCCCTCCTCTGCCAGCTGCAGCCACCGTGAGGGCAGGGATGGTCACCGCTGCAGGCTTGTGTGCCAGGTGACCACGGATTCAAGTGTGCACAGGCACGCGCCTGCAGAACAGCTCCTGGACACGAGGACTACAAAGACAACAGGAATTCCTGCCTCTGAGGAGCTTGGTTTGACGCATTCAGCGAGGCAGCATTCCTGGCCTCCTGGAAACCCTGCTGTTTGACCCAAAGCCCATTGCTCAGCGCCAGAACCTAGAGCCCGGGGTTGAAGGCTAGAATCTGCAGCCTAGAAGCTGAAACCAGGCACCACAGCTCTGTGTCCCAGCACTCTCTAGCCCAGCGCCCCAGACGAAGAGCACAGAGGCCGGCACTTAAATACAGAGCCTGGAGCTTGGAGCTCAGAACCCAGAACTTGGAGACGGAACCAGAGCCTCAACCTAGCATCCAGATCTCAGAACACGGAGTCTAGAACCTGGGGCCCTGAACGTGGAACCCCAAATCTACAACCTGGAGGCTGGTACCCAGAAAACCATAGCTTAACACTAAGGACATGGAGAATGAGGCTGTAGGTCCCAGAGCCTAAAACCCCAAATCCAGAGCTTAGAACTCAGCTCAGGGCCTAGGGGGCAGAAGCCAGAGCCCAGAGCTCGGGATGGACATCCGAGGAGCCCACCTTCTTTCTTGTTCCCCCTGGCTTATTTCTCTTACCCTGTCAATCAGTGTTTTGAGAGCACTGAAGGCCAGGCCCAGTGGTGGGTACCCGGCAGGAGCAGATGGGTGGGCTCCCTCTCCCTGTGGAGGCAGCTCCAAGAATGCAGGGACTGTGTGTTGTCCCTCTTCTGTCCCCTGTGTCCCTCACTGGCTTGTGGGAGGTGCAGAGATTCCTCTTTGTATCCCACAAGTGTCTGTCCATGGGCCCTGTTTGTTCCCAGAGTGTGGGGTGAGAATGACATCCACTGAGACCCTTGCTCTGGTGACAAATTCTGGTAGGCAGGAGCCGTTTCTGACCAGGAGGCATTGGCCAGAGCTGGGAGAGGCAGGGGGAGGTGTGGAGTGGGGCGCAGGGTAAGGGCTCAGGTTTAAGTCCCGGTTACTTTGGAACCACAGAGCCCAGGCTCAGAGGGCTGCTGTTCCCTACTCTGTAAACCCATGAGCTCCCCACAGCACCTCCCACTGTCCACTGTGTAGGGCAGCCAATTTTGATTTTGTGGCCACAAAATGCGCAGAGAGGCCAGGCACACGGGGCAGGTGGTGCGAGCGACTGACTGCCTTTAGCAGGGCGATGGTGGCCTTTATGATTCCGTGGGGCCTGGCGCCAGGGTGGCTGGGGTGGGGTCAGCCTTTGTTCCATCTGTTTGCACCCAGGTGGGGCTGGCCGGCCCACGACTCGGCTTGGGTCCACAGCCCTTCCTCCCTTCCTCTTGCTGGGCCTCTTCCAGGCCTGGCTTCTTCCATTCTCCGTAGGAAGAAACCCAGTCCCCTTTGTAACTCTTACGGTCCAGCCCAGTGCCTTCTGCCCGCCAGTAACTGAGAGAGAGTGAGAGTGAGACAGAGAGAGACAGAGAGAGAGAGAGAGAGAGAGAGAGAGAAAGGAACAGTCTTCCTGGTCTCCCAGGGCTGCAGAAACAGGCCGCGCCCCAGGGGAAAAATGTCCAAAGGAATGAGGAATGCCGGCCACACAGGCCTGCCAGCAGCGCTCACCTGAACCACAGGAAAGGGAGCAACCAAGGCAGAGGTAGTCCAAGGTAGGCCAGCCCGAAATGAGTTTCAAGATCAAAGGTATCCCTGCAAAGTGCTGGTGTGTGTGTGGGTGTGTGTGTGTGTATGGTGTTTAGGCAAAATGGTAAAACGGTTCCAACTTTATCTGTAAAAACTCACACGAGACTAGCAGAATTAAGTCAGAAAATCAGGAACGTGCATGTGTATGTGTGATGGTTTCCAATACTAAACAGGATTCTGTTATCACAATCGTTCAAACCTTGTGGTTCTGCCATAAGAATAAGCAGATCAATGGGCCAGACTCTATTCTTTACAAGATAATGGATGATAAAGGAGCTTTCCCGAATCAATCAAGGCCGCAGGACCAGCTGGTCAGCATCCCGCCGGGACCATCTCCTCCAGAGACCTAGCCCACCAAGGCACAAGTTCTGTTGGGGCTGTGTGGTGTTTTGCAAAAAAAATGTGAGTGGGTCACAAGTGATTTTAAATTAGGGACTCTCCCCTGAATAGGCAGAAGTCTGGGCCATCTCTGAGTCTCTCTACTCAGATGCAAGGACACTGCTTCCTCCCGAAGTCCTGCTTCCGCCCCTTCACCTGACCCCGCCCCCGTGTCTGCTGGGGTCCTGGGGACACTGAGTTTGAGTCCTGACAACTCCACCCATGTCTGTTGTAGGCCTGAGACAGATGCAGTCTTCACACCAAGCACTGTAACCTGCCCAGCTGGGCCACCCCGCACATGGTGAGAGCGACTCACTGCACACCACGCTAGGCTCACTCAGCCTCTCTAGGAACCAGAGTTTCTCAGATGCAGAGGAGCTGCTGAACAAACCAGACGAGCGTGCTTGTGCTCCAGGCTGAGTGGCAGGCTCGCCTGGGACAGTGCTTCTGCAATCAGCTCGGAGCCCATAACCCCCGTTCCAGGACTTCAGTGTTAGGTTTCCATCCAAGCACCTTTTGCAAGAAGCTCTTGGCACAGATTTTTAGGACATGATTTATAAAACCAAGAGATGGCGTACTATCTCAGAAAGGGGGAAGGGGAGAGTAAATATCCAAAAGAAGTGAAGACAGGGACTCACAGAGATGTTGGCCCACGCATGTTCACAGCAGCACGATTTGCCAGGCAAAAGGCGGAGACAGGGACTGGCGGTGTGGTGCTGCGGGCTAAGCCGTCACCTGGGAGGCTGGCAGCCCCTATCAGAGTGCCAGTTTGATTTTCAGCTGCTCTGTTTCCAATCCCGCTCCCTGCTAATCTAATGTGCCTAGGCAGGAGGCAGAAGATGGCCCAAGTACTTGGATTCCTGCCATCTACATGATAGACATGATGGATTTCCCAGCTCCTGGCTTCAGCCCAACCCAGCCCCTACCATTGGGCCCATCTGAAGAGTGAACCAGCAGATGAAGGATCCTTTCTTTCTCTCTCATTTTGCTTTTCAAATAAATCTATATAAGAAAAAGAGGTGAAGCCCCTCAAAGTCCACTGACAGATGGGTGCATAAGCAAGAGGGGGTCCATCCTTACACTGGAATATTCCTCCGTCTTAAGAAGGAGAACATTCTGGTCCACACTGCAGCACAGAAGACCCCTGAGGGCACGGCACGGCGCTAAGTGAAATAAAGCAGATGCTAAAGGACGGACGCTGTCTGAGCCCACTCGGAAGAGGTCCCTAGAGCACTCA